GGGTAGCTTTGGCTTCGGTAGCAATCGATCAGACAATGAAGACAGACTACTGACTCTTTGTTCTGATCATCGCTTGTTTCTTTCGAGCACCAGTTTTCGACACTAAAAGATACATGCTGCTATATGGCGCCCGCCTTCTCAAATGCAAGAGCGGTCCCAGCTTGACCACATCGCGATAAGCTTCAGATGACGCGGAAGCGTATCAGACTGTCATTCGTGCTGGTCAACTTGTCTGGACTCCTATCACGCATTGGTTCGCGTTTCGGCGGACCGTCTAGGCGTACGCACTACCGCCCGAGTGTAGAAAACGTACAAGACCCTACGACGTTTGCCTGATACCAGGCCTCCTTATCAACACTGCTTATCCCAGCTTCTGATGATGGTCTGAATTCACAGTGGATGCGCATCAAAAGTGCTTTAGTTTCTGCCAGCATTGATAGTTGCGGAGTCAGCCATCACCCGCCGAAAAGCTGAATCACTGATGTCTTTTTGTCGCTGATGGACAGACGCCGCTCGGTCCCGCTCGATTCTATTTGTAATGAAGAATGACGATCCCTAAATCGAGAATTGCGTAGGAGTCTACCAAAGGACCGTGAAACCTGTTGGTGTGAACGTGTTAGAGTGATGGAACTTGCTGATCTTTCTGGTAATACCAGAAAACTTTTCCATCTTCTCCGAGCCACCGAAGGTTTCCGATCTGGAATAAGCGAAACGATCTGCGAAGAGGATGGCTCACTAACCACTAATTTTCAACGATGGTCTGAACACTTTGACTCGCAGTTTTGCTGGCCACCAGCCCCATCTGCTTCTTTTGGAGCGCTCACTGGTGCTGAGTGGTCTGTCCCCACAGATCCTCCTTCTCACCAGGAAATCTGGCAGAAATTCCTCTTCCTTCAGCGCTATAAAGCACCGAGCCCTGATGGCTTACCTCCAGCCCTATATAAAGATGGCGGCTATTCGCTGGTTCGAGAACTCACTGCTTTGTTCTCAGAAGTCTGGCTGAATGAGGAGGTTCCATCATCTTGAGCGGAGTTGGTAGTCGTCCCCATCTTCAAAAAGGGCCTGCGCACAATGTGCTCCAACGATAGAGGTATCAGCTTGGTTCACAATGCGCGAATCGCTGCAGCGGGACGAACAGGCTGGGTTCCGTCCTGACTGCAGCTGCATCGATCAAATTTTCACACTCCACCAGATCCTCGAGCTCCGCCATATGTACCGAAAACCACCGATTATCCTGTTCCTGGATATCCGCGCTGCCTTCTATTCTGTCGACAGTTTTGCATTGTGGCACTGTTTGTTGCGGAATGGCGTCCCGGGGGAAGTTCGTTTCCGTACTGCATGCTATGTAAAGTCTGACCTCGGGTAGAGTTAGGGCTTATGACAAGCTTTCGCCTACCTTTGTTGTCACCAGTGACTGATGTTCGACAAGGATGCCCTATCACCTCATTCCTTTTCAATTTCGCTATTGAAAATGTCCTAAAGAATGCTCTGGATAATTCGTTGAGCGTTAGTATTGAGCTCTTCCCAGGTGGCCGTTGTTAACTTGGACTACGCTGATGATATCGTCTTGCTGAGTGACGGTCCACAGGCCATCCAACCTGCACTCGAACGCTTAGCGATTGAAGCGTCAAAGTATGGGAGGGCTTTTTCTCCACCCAAGTGCAAACCTCTTTTCTAAGACTTTCAGATGCCTGTACCTGCACTCACTCTTGGTGGTGAGACACGAGGTTACAGAGAGTTTCGTCTACCTAGGAAGTTGCATCACAGCCAATGGAGCTATTGGAGACGAGATTTCGATACGTATCTCAAGAGCTCGCCTCGCTTTCTCTAAGCTGAGGCACTTGTGGCGCCGCCATGGCGTGGGTATATCCATCAAAGGATGGGGTTGTTGTGCGACTGTCCGCGCTGTACTGTTGTACGGTTGCGAGATTTGGCCTGTTCGTATTGTTGATCTGCGCTGTATTTTTGTCTTTGAGCACCGTTGCTTACGGTCCGTTGCACCACGTAACCAATGTGGAAGTTAGACAGCGTGGCTTGGTTGGAGGCAGTCACTCGCTTGAGGAGCTTGCCCCGCTGCGTTAGCTGCGGTGACCTGGATACGTATTGCGCATGCCCGGTCATCGTCTTCCGTGTCGCGCGTTGTTCGCAGTTGCCGGACAGGACTGGAGGAGACGGCACGGCGGACAACCTGCAACCTGGAGAATCCACATGAAGAAGCTGACGTAACAGTTGGCTTCGGGTGGTTGTTCTCGACTCCCTGGTTGGAGACCGACGTCAATGGAATATGTGTATATCTGCTTGTTGCGGTTATTTCCCTTCTTCAATATAACAACTCAAAAGACTCAAAAACTGTGAGCGTGAAGATACTAGGATATATATATATATATATATATATATATATATATATATATATATATATATATATATATATATACACCAGCCATCATCTCGCCTACATTGACTGAGCTGTTCAACAGCTCGCTCTCCGAAGTTTCCTTGTCGATTGATTGAAAATACTAGGTGGTAAGGCTGATTCCGAAAGGCGGTGGCCCCAGCAAAGTAGACACTTACAGGATAATTTGTTTGACACCTATTTCTGCCAAGGTTACCGAGAAGATCGGGAAAGAGGGTTTGCTACCGTTGTTCCCGTCAAACGATATGAAGCCAGTACAATAGTTATATGCCAACTCTCTCACGCATCATCAACCTGCTGGTGAGGAGACATGAATGGTTGCAGGCAATCAATCAGGCGTAAACTACATCGACTTTAGCAAAGCGTTCGACATGGTGAACCGTGAGGTCCTCCTCCACAGGCTGAGAGTGTGGTGTGTTGCTGGCTCACTGCACCAGTAGATTCACGAGTTCCTCGTTGAACGATAGTGGAAGATGCAGTTTAACGACTATCCGACCGACTGGTATTTCTCTACCATGGGCGCACCCCGAGACGCAGTGCTGGGCCACCTTCGTTCCTTCTCTACATCAACGATCTACTTCAGCTTTTTTGGTCGCCATGTATCTTGTTTGTAATCGACTTGAAGATGTGAAGAGTGATTAGCATTTCCGACGAATGTGGTCTACTTCAGCAAGACCTTAACCGTTCTTTTACTTGGTCTGCATATGTCCGCCTCCCGGTCAACCCAACCAAGTCTGTAGTTATGAGATTGCCGATGGATGGTATCAGCCGAACCTTCACTCTCGACGGCGAACCGCTGCATCGCACACTTTTGGTGAGGAACTTAGGTGTACTCTCTTGTTGCGATTTAAAGTCCGATGACAACACGAACAGGCCATATCATAACGGACTGTGCGTACTTCGGACGCTCAAATGCAACTTCCGTACTTGGTCGGACGAGGTATCCAGTCGCTTTTTCTCTTTCATCATAAAACCATTGCTAGAATATACCTCGCTTGTTTACTGTCCAATCAACCAGGGCGAGGCACAGAAGGTCGAATAGTTGCATCACGTCGCTACCATTGTCATCCCGAGTTTACTGGACTTGCCATACGTAGATCGATGCAATAAACTAGAACTCTATACTTTGTTCTATCCTCGGGTGCGAGTCGGTCTCATCGTGACCTACCGCATATTACATCTCGGTGACTGTCACATGGCAAAGCTGATGCTCGACTTGCGAACACCCTTCAGCACACTTAGACACTAGTGTAAGAGTTTGTTCCCGGATTCGAAACGAGCAACCCATTCCCTTGCTTTGAACCGCGATTGCTCAGTGTTTGAAACGGTTTGCCGAAACATGTAATGGGAAGAAATTCGGTGCAACAGCTTAGAACATTTTAAGATTTGCATTCCTTTACCGTTCGATTCCGCGAACGAGTATCCACTGACCTTGGCATCTAACATTTGCGCGTCCCATCTTACTGTGGGCTATGCCCTTTTATCATGATATCACGTTGGAACCTGACATGTCGTTCATATCTTTTTTTATTTCTTTAGCGTTCTTGATCACGTTTCGATGGAGTTGTACAGGTTTACACTTCTGCTGGATGCCATAATGCAGTATTCAGTTCGGTTATCTTGCTTCTATCTGAAACTCATCACGCTATTGCATTAGTCAGGCGTTTAGAGTGCACCGCTGCAGCTCAGTATTGTTCGCTCCTACCTTTTCAGTGAATTAGGTCCACTCTCGGCGTTCATCCCATTTGATTTCGACTTACCGTCACTAATTGACCTTTTACTGGTCCAAAATTTGAGTTCCATGACACCATCCACGAGCACCGCGTCGGAATTCACCCTTATTCTGCATCTGTCGTAGCGCAGTATCGAATGAGTCGGACTATTTGCTACACATGGACTAGTGGGTACACGTAACCGGCCACTTCTAGTCCCTTTTTGCCTTTCCACGTACTTCCCTTGTGCTCTCAATGACCTGCTCCCGTAGTGTCTGGGTTGAGAAAGAGCTGACATAATATTTTTGCACACATCTATGTAACATCAGCACACCCGTTAGCCTTTTGCCATCTAGATCACCTAGTGAGTTCGTACAGCGCGGTTTCCTTGATGGGCTTCGATTTTCACACTCTGAGACAAATGGGTCAGCGGGTTGCACTCGTATACACACATACTCCTGCGGCTGATGTGTTCTTGGTTTCCGAAGCCACTCGGCTGCCAAACTAATTGTACTTGATTTATGGTTAAGGATGTCTGCACATAGAATCACTTCGAATTAATGAATTCTGTTTTATTATGCTTGGTTTCCTGGATCGATTCTTCTCTCCTTTTTAGTGTTTCCTTCTAATGCTCCGTTCTACATCCTACTTTGTATTTGATATTTTTGAGACTGCACTACTTTTCGTATACCCGTTTCCTATCGGCCGCTTTTCCGCTCGACAGCTTGAATGACCATATTTTACGAAAGAAAACTAACGCGTCTAATCGCGTTTCATTCCTATCATCTGTACTTTCCATACGGCTCAACTGGTTTCTTAAACCTTGTGACTGTTTGGCACCCACTTACCTTCATTGTTGCTTGCCTCCTCCCAAAATGTGTTACAGTTTGAAGGACTACTTGCATGTATCATACCGATTTTATTTTAGTGCATGTTACTTGCCTGCTCCGTACCGCTGCATCATCACCCAACCGACATCTCTGTCTACGCGTAATTTGGTAAGTACGTAATGCTATTTGGCTCTATGCGGACCGCATTGTTTGCCGAAAGTTTGGTATGTGTTTCTCCTTACTTTTCCGAATACATGTACTTCTTGCAACTGCTTGGCATGTTTTTAGCATCATTGATGGAAAGCATTTGCCGTTTTTTCTTCTGCAAAATACCGCCCTTAGATCAACTGTGAAACTATTCATCTACAGGGTACATCTGAAACTTTCAGTGTATATTCTCAGGAAATAAAAGAAACAATAGTTACAAACGAAATACCCTTACTGGCCTTTAGAGTACTCAACACTAACTACAACACGCTTCTGACATCAGCTCTAGAGCTTTTGTGAACTCCCCGCAAACGCTCGAAGCCTCGTGATCACGCTTTGTTGGATATCCACAGTCTCAAACGTTTCAGGGTTAGTTTAAGGCGGGGTAACAAGAAGTAGTCTGCCGGGGCCAAATCTTGCGAATAAGAAGGGTGTTGAAAAACAGTCACCTTGCATTTTACCAGAAAGCGGATCACGCATATCGCAGTGTGTGGAGCGTGCGTTGTTGTGCTTGAAATTCCATTGTCCATTTCGATGCCGTTCTGACTGAACCCGCCGGATGCTTTGCGGCAACCGTTTCGAAACTCTCTCTTAAACTTTCGCGTTGGCAGTTTGACCTTCGGATAAAAATTCATGATGCATCAAGCCATTGTTGTCGAAAAATACAATTAACACCGTTTTAGACTTTGTCCGCGGACTTTTTTCGGAGGCAGGAGGATGACAATTATATCATTAACTGTCCCCTAATCTTCGGATCGTATTAGTAGCACCACGTTTTATCTCCTGTAATAATGGTTTCCAAAAACTGCAGATTTCAGTCAGATATACCGATGATATCTCCAGACGCTTCCATCCGAGTTCGCCTGTCAGCATGCGCGATACAAACCGAGTACAAATCTTCTGCCTATTTTAATCTTCATGTACGATACTTCTTACACTGTGTTTGCTTATCTTCAACTCTTCTGTTCTCATTCCCAATGACAGCGCCCGATCATCCACAAGCATGCGTCGCAATCGGTCGATGTTGCCTAGGATTATGCTTGTTGAGGGTGGACGCGAAAGCTGCTTATCGTCAATACATTCATTTCCGTCCTTAAAGCGTTTTAACCACTGAAACACACATTTTTTACTCACTGCTTCAACATCGTGCACTTGTACTAGCAGTTCATGAGTCTCCTTGACTTCTTTTCGTAATTTGAAGCAAAACTTCATGTTAACTGGTTGCTCCATTCTAGACTGACACGAGTTGTCCCTTTTGACTTCGTAGGCTTGGTCATAGCGTGTACCACTGCTTCATTCCGGTGGCTTACACGATAGGGTGGGTGGGGTTTGTTGCCATGTCTCAATGCGTGTGCGCGGGCGCCTCTTACCAGCGTGGTTTTTACCATATGGGATTATTCATTGAACTTTTCATACGCACCTTGTCGATTACCGAAGAAGCTCTGCAATGTGGTCATTTCGTACCACCACTACTTGTATGTTCACTTTTACAAAAGACTTAGGACTGTAGGGAACTCGTTAGTGATTGATCATTACCACTTTGTTGTCAAGGTAATTGGCAATTTTCAGAAGCCGAAATTGTGCTACAAACTTGTTTATTGAGACACCGAGTATCGGTTATTTGCTTCAGGCATGCTTGCTTCCTGGCACTCCGTCTGCCACGGTCTACTTTACCACACGTTTGTTCTTCCTCTGTTGCTCATTTAACCGCGATCGCCAAGTGTGTGTGTGTGTGCCTCTGGAGTGTTCGATGGTTGGCCCGTTCCTGTTCCCACCATACTATTTACTCCTGGTGCAACATAGATTGAGTGTAAAACCAACACCAGTTGTCATTAGTCCCCCCTCATCATGCGTTTTTCACTTGGCTTCTTCGGTTACTCTGTAAACATGGGTCATATATTGCGAATCGCAAGTATCACTGATCACCCCTCGTAGCGCAAATGTATGCATTTTTCTTCATCATTTGCATCATTTATTCAAACTTCAAGCGAATGTCACGTACATTTATTTCAGCGTCGTTATCACTCTCATTGTCCACAACCGACTCTAAAAGCATTTTTAGCATCTTCCGCTTCGGTGCAATTCAGTGTAAAGTCCCAATTTTGTTTCATTCTTAGCCTCGCTCCCAGCACATTGCCACCGCGGCCCCCTGTGGCTCTCATCTACGGTATCCGGACGGTTCTCGTTTCTTCTCTAACACCCGACCCCCTTCTGAAACTCCTTTGAGTCCTATGCAAGGAGCGCAAGGCAACGCGATGCCCTTACCAGGCTACATAGGAAACCAGGCATTTGGATACGTTACCACAACCGACGGAGGAGCCCAAAACTATGCTTCGTGGGATTATGCGGACCGTGTGTCAAATGTGTCATTCATTTATCCTGGACCAATAAGAACGCATTATGCGTTACCAACGTCGCCAACCTACGACCCTGCATTATTCAGTTCAGCCGGTTGGTTTTTGTTTTTCCTAACATGGCCAGCTGTTGTAGAGCTCGTTCGCGTATTCAACCGGTTCTGTTGTAGAAAACTAGGTGTGAAATTGTTTATTGAGTCAACGAGCATCATCCACAAGACTTAACCACGCGACATCATTCATCCGCAGTTTACTGAGTACCACTACGACTGTCTTCCCTGAAGTTTCGTGATCTATTTGTGCTCCGACACCTGGTCGCGATCTGTTTTCCGGTTTCCCACTGTGACACCTCCAGGTGTGATCTATGGGCACTCATTGCGAGTCGGACGGTTGGTTTCGCCCATAGTTGCACCATAAAGCTTGCTCCTGACGCGGCGCCACACACTTTTGCTCGTACCCAAAGAGCAATACAAGTGGCAACTAAACTTGCACCTGGTTCTTCTTTTCTCTTATCCCTCTCTACTGATCGCTTCTTCTTTATTATGAATCTTTATCAACGCGGATTAGTTGCTACAGTGGTCTTGATCAGAGCTGTTCCAATTACTAAAACCTGGCAACTGGCTGCCAGGCCCGTGCTCGTTTGCAGCAATTGTTAATGCTTAACAGTGCACGTGAAATGCAGTTTCCTTTTCGGAAAATGACCACCATGCTACTGTTTATTGCCCATGAGAATTTTTATTATTCCCGTGTTTGTTCACAGATTGTGTTTTGTATTCATTTGGCGTTTGTTATCTCACGTGATTTTTACTTCACCAACAGAAACTACTAACCTAGCCGGATTATCCCGATGGTCATTATTACATACCAACTTGTGTTGTGTGAAAGCAAATTTCACATTAGGCTAAAATCATGCTCTATGCACTCCAAGCGAACGAGCATTCAGCAACACTGTACAACTATAATAAAAATGGTATGTTTATTACATGCAGATACCAACGAATGAGCAGTTTAAGTACTCATGGGCTGGGGTAACATCGCCGGTTGATTTTCTTTGCAAGTTAATTTTTTCATGGCCATCTATGGTCTGGCAGAAAGCACACTAGATGGGGAATGACCGATGACCTGTGCACCCAATACGCACGCATGTAGTTTTGTACCTCGTCGTAGAAGAAGATACACATATAGAGAATGTTCTTTGGGGCTATCGAATGGCATCATCAAGTATTTTTGACGCGTTTTTTTTGTATTGCGAACTGATGAGAATCAACATTCCAATGTCAACAGAAGTTGCCTCGGAAATGCCGCTACACCGAGATGAATGTTTTTGTGACACTAAATGTGAATGTTCTATTATATTTGCTCAGTACACTTTGACAAATCGACGGAAAGCGCAGCTCTTCTAATAGGTATAATAAATAATAATGAACAGAAGAATTAAACAGCGAGAGACAGGTGAATCCCAAGCGAGAGGTGTTAAACCTCAGCCTTCTGACTTTTATGGATATTTCATTCACATGAGGTTGTGACTAGTCAGCTCGTTGACATCAATAAACGTGAACCCTCATTAACGATGTGAAGCTGATGTGCTTCCGCGAGAAATCGCTAATACCGATCTTCGCGTGCAATGAGTTAAGAACTTGAGTTCGCTTCGATGCATTTAACAATTGGTAACGTGTGTGCTTACCAAACTAGATTTGTAGCTTGGTTGATGAGACCTTGGTCAGGTAGTTGTCATGTTATCTTCAACTTAGTATATCATGAGCATAAATTGGCATGACGCTTTTAGCGACATACACAAATAAAGATAGAAACAAGGTAGTCTCAACACTATCATTGAAAGCATGTGTTCTTTATTCTACACCAAAGGCTGAGAGCATATATCCAGATGTAGCCATTCGGACAGTGTTGCGGGCCCGTCAAAAATCCCCGCAAAAAACGCGCCAGTAACTCCGGCATAATGGCTGTGGGAAGCGAAGTCCAATTTCTCCCCACAACGCAGCAGTGTTCAGCCACTCCGAGGAGCGTCCCAACTGCGAACCTTTTGACAATGGTCATTTGCAAACTACCACCTCTGCGTGGTGACTTTTTTCCCAAACTTAATAACCCATAGCACTGGCCGTGATTGCCCTTTATCGGTCGTAAAAGAGCCTACAGAGGACTACTTGTCTTTTCTTTCTCTTCGCCTCAGTTGGGAGTCGATCGGGTCGCGTGATTGCGCGTGAATCGTTAGCTGGCCAGCCTTCGCGTCTAAGTCATTAGCGCGCGTCTATCGTACCCCCTCTCGTGTGCGTCCGTTTTCGAGGCCTCAGCGTCTATACGAACAAGTGCGGCTAAGATCGTTCCCACGCTCGTTCAATTTTCCGTCTCACCGGCTAAGCTAGCGTCATCGTAGGCGTGCTCCAGCCGTGCGAGCGACAATCGTGTCACACAATTACCTCAAGAGGCGGCGTTCCCTCAACTATAACAGTAGCGACTCAATTATAACAGACAGTCATCTGTAGTATCTTCGACCAACCGGTAATTGTGTGGTCCAGGTGTCTGACTTAAGTTTAGGGTTCAGACTTACATAATTGCTGGCGAACTCAAAATATCCCAAATCCGCACTTGACTGCTTGTGTTCTCCTCGTAGCGAAGAGCGGTGCGACGCACCTGCGTGTTGCTGACATCTTCCATTATACTATTGAAGTGAAGAGGAACGATAGAGCAACCTTGACACATTGCAGTTATCATGCTACGTTCACCAGTAGGACTTTGTTGACCCTTGAAATTTTCTACAGTCGCGACTTTGGGTACTCCTCGTACATAGGCAATGCACGTGCGATCCTCTGAATTCAAGACAATTATGGTAGCTAGACGTTTAGGGGAAGGTGACCGACACGTTGTAGACAGACAGCAGACCAGTCGATCACTGCCGGCGCAAACTGACCACGATTGTACGGGCCGGAGGGATGAATCTGGATTGTCCAGTCTGGAGTGAAGGAAGCACAACTTGTCAACAAACAAATGCTAAGCGAATTGATTAGAACGGAGCCGGCGCGTCGAGGATTTCACACTATCGACACGGGATGCAATGGCGGTCGGTCCACGGGATAAACAGAAGCGAGGGGTAACTGGTGACGTGTAAGCGAATCAGGTTCCACCCATGTGGATCTACCGCGATCGCGCGGGCCAGTCAGACAATGGTGAATCGGTGGATCCAAACGTTAATCAAGTTGAACGTGACCGTAAGCAGAGCCGAAACGAATTTGACCCTTCCAGTACGGAAGAGCAGAAGACTTGATAATGAAAGTGACCAGTGCGATGTCATCTTAGTTAAATATCATTTTTAATTTCTGCACAGTGTAAATAATGCTTCAATTTAGGAACAGCGAGCTTTGATCGCTGACCAGACGCTTGGAGAGCTACACGACACTCTCAGATCATCGAAAGAGCCTGGTTAATGAGTTGTATGTATGATATTACTGGAGCACATATCGGGGGTGGGCTGCTATATAGTCAGGTAATCTATATGGGGACGAAAACTAGCCCGCCTTTCGTCGGTTTGACTCTTGAGGATCACTGACCTACCAGGATGGGATACATTCGGGTTGTTTAGTAGTCCGATGACAATTCTGACTTCCCGTTATCGTTTTCAAAGCTCTGGATGGCAGCCAGCGACCATCAGTGACAACAGATCTAGATTCACTGCTTTTTGCCAGAGAGCAGCTTTTCTCTCCTAAGCTTAGTGCTTAATAGCTGAAGTGCAGTGAGTACTGATCATGAAAGTCACTGTTAGCAGACTGCGTGTAAGCTTAGGTACCTTCGAGTCAAGCTTAACTACTTTACTTCTACAGCGGATCGCTTCTTTGCTTTGCGTACCTATCTCACCTGATTACTATTCCCTACTCAATTTGCGGCCGATTTCTAGTCATAGTTTTGTTAATTTTTATACTCTTCCGAAATGTTGTTTGGTAATACTCAGCATTATTTTTCAGGATTCTTGAATTCACGATTCCCACACCAGCATTACTCGACAGTCTCACCATCATACTACTTCCGCATGCCTCGATCCGGTAGCGCCGGTGCTGGCTTTAGTTGCGCGGCGGACACGCCCATTGGTGTCACCAATAGGCAACCTCCGCCAGGGGATCGCATCTCTCGTGGACGTAGTGTCGGGCCTGATCCAAATGGACTCGGACAAACCCAACCACCCCAGCCTTTACCGCGACCTAGTTACCGATGTCTTGCTGCGCGATGTGCTGCTGCTTCAAATCATGCGGCTAGTGGACGTATGTCTTCTAATCTATCACCTCCACTTACCCAGGAACATACAAGTGCGTTGCCCTCTGTTGGTCGATCGATGAGCAATTCTCTAAGCGCGAATGATCTGGCAAGTTATCGGACTAAAACTGGTCTGGAGATGCGGTCGACAAAGTCCAGCTTCGATCTTGCGCCTGACCTACCTTGCGAACCGAATTTGGCCCTTGCCCACTGTTCTGACTTCTACACTAGGATTGCAGTAAGTCACCCACCGATATCTTATGTCTGCTCGATGTATCATATTCCTTGATCATCTCTTCATCACAAACTCAAGCACGCTTCACTTTGCAGGCGTTAATAGAGCTGGATAATAACTTGCTGTTGGCTACCCCCAGCGGTTGGTCCGAACGTCGCTCCAGCCTCGGTCGTACGTACTACACTTGCGACCAAACGAAGCAGGCGAGTTGGCATCATCCCACCTTCGGTCTTCATGTTCCCTTAGGTTGGGAACGTGTCGATTCGTATCACCATGGTGTCTACTATCAGCAGTAAGTTTGCCTCTGCTTATACCCTCGCTACCATGTTCGTTTAACTTATTTGCACGCCCACCCTTCGTAGTAAATGAGCTAAATTCTCTCAGCTGGCAACCAACCGTTCACCTGCGGTTACGTACTGTGTGATTAACCTTTACGGTCTTGTTATCATTGATTTAGTCGATTATTTTCTCCTTAGTTCGATAATGTAAACCGAAAATTGCTTCATTGTTAAATCTCTATTTTCCGCCTTGTCTGACCCCTTTGCTCCCCTTGCAACCCAGTTGATGAAGTTACCTTTACTGACTCTTCGAGGTGGTGGTCAGCAATTGGGAGTCAGAAACGAAGTATGAATTGCGAACACAAAAATGGTGTTCCGTACAAAAGCTGAGGCGCTTTTCAACTGCAGTCATTCCTTATTGTTGCAACTTATACCGTCCGTTTATGTTCGTTGGTCGATACGCGTTGTTCATTCACTATGCTCGGTCCGATCCACTCTTATCCTCTCTTTGGACACGTCGAACGTGCCTCATGTGTGGCGACATCAATACAGTTCGGCTGGTCAGTACGATTCTGGTAAACCCGCGGAGCAGGCATTTGATTCGCACTAGTTACACTATGTGTACTAGTCGCCCACCGCGTAGTCTAGTGCACATATAGCGAATCAAATGCATGCTGCGCAAATAGCCGCGAGCGGACAGTGCGTGCGCGTCAACGAACCCAGATTGACATTAGAGTGTAATAGGGGAACATCCACAAAGCAATCCTAGGCGACGGGCAACTGCTGCATATATATATACCGAATCAAATGCCTGTTTCACGGGTCCACCAGTTGTCCGCCGCCTCCGTTTGCTTCGTGGACTTGCCGCTATTACACTCTAATGCCAGTCTGGGTTCACTGGCGCACGCGCATTGCCCGCTCGCTACTTTTCGAGCCAATCCGCTTCCCATTTTTGGTAACCGAACTGCACTTCCTTTTTTCTCTTTCTTGTTGTCTTTTTCGTCACACACTACCTTGTACTTTTGTTTTTTGGGTTAATGCCTTTGAAATCAAGAATTCACGAAAACCCGCGTGCATTACTTCCATTGCAACCGGTCTTGCATCAATATCTCGAGTGTTGTGAGCCACTGACGTTCTTTGGGACCTTAACGGGATAGACGTATTGCGCCGACGATGGCTAAGCAAAATATCAAAGCTGTCATATTTTGTTGCTGTGACTCTTCCGATGCGGTCCTGTGAGTGCAAATAGGCCGCGGCGTGGTAGACACTCGTTAGTCATGCTTAGTGCGTGGCCAAGGCGGGTGATTTGCTTCACCCACAACCCATGTTCATTCACGTTTAGAATCCTATCAATCAGGCTCTGCAGAAAATCTACGTCTTAGTCATAACTAGCTTGAGGATTGCATCCGTCGACTCAGCTACATGAAATATCATAAGGTTATAACGCCGCTGATTGCTGGCAGTTGTCCTCTGCTTTTCGCTTCGCTGCATTCTCCATTGGCCTTCATCGTCTGCGCTATCGCACGCCGGTATGTTAGTGTCCGTAGGACGCAATGCAGGCACGCCAGCTGAGGCTTCAGCAACGGGTGGACATCGCTCTGGAGAGCCTGCGGCGGGTGGGCTCGTTCAAACATAGAGGTGGCTGGGTTTCCGTTTGCTTGGATGAACCCACGGAGCTCCTCCCTATGAAACGTTTCGCCCGTTTTGTAGGCTCCCACAGCTTCTCGGCTGTTTGTGACTACACAGTGGCCCAGCATTTCTTGCACAATATATGGACACATTCATGCTGAATTTCACGGGATAGTTTAAGATGATCTGAAGATAAACCAGTACACGAAATATGGAAATTCACACGACACAGGGCATGTACCAGCAATGGCTCTATGCCTAACTATTTTGCAACAAGTGCCACAGGGAGTCAGTTTCGTCATTACGGATAACTTTTCGGATGCGATGGTAAAGGGGATAAATTGAACCAAAAGTACATGCTGCAAATACCACAGTACAATTTAGACACTGCACTAATACACAATAGACAATTTCACCTTCGTAAGGGAAACTGAATTTGACAAGAATAAGCACGAAACATCTGTTCACACAAAGTAATGAACGATGCAAACTGACCTATCAAACAAAGCGAGAAAAGCTGTCCGGCGGGTGCTATCCGCAGTCACAGTGCATAAATTTTGTCGTAGGTTCACCTTGGCTGAGGTTTGGAGGTATGGTGCTTAAAGCATAGCGCTGTACTCTTTAATAGCGATTAGTATAAATCAATTGGTCTTTTTTGTCTAATGTCCAGGAAGGTGTCGATGGTGGGTCTGCGGCACAGACGACGATGTTCGTGGAGTTGACGTTTCGTGAATCTTTGATCCATGCATTCCCCAATCAGTCGAAAACCAGCCTGCTTCTGCCGTTCGTGTGTTTCACATGTTGGGGTTAACCCGCGGAGCATGATGAATGTTAATATCTGGCAGGCAATCGATGTCAGGCTGTACCTTCTGTGATCGGCGCATGAAGGGGGAGAACTTTCCTGAACATTGGGACAACTGCTGATTCGTCCCTTAAAGAGTATGCCCTTTCTTCTTGCCAGATTTTAAGGAACAGTGCTGTTAACTGATTGATAACTGTTGTGCCACTAGTGTTTGGTTCGGCGGAGGTGTACGCCACCGGGTGCACATATGGCGGGAAACGTTTTCGGATATGACAACAAACCGTGCATAATGGCGAACTTGTAGTGTGACCCTACTCCGGGAAATTCCGTTTTGTACTTTTTTCTTCCTCTCCTCACTATCGTTGTATTGATTTGTCTATATGTTGTGGCACTCTATAAAGTGTTCAAGATATATATATATATATATATATATATATATATATATATATAAATGGTTGGCGACATCCCGTTTCGGATTTGCCTGTCATGGTGGCCAGACACAAGACACCTGCGCCCACAGATAAACCATGGGTGGCTTGCGCTGCACCACCCACAGCTCCAACCACACACCCCATATCCAATGTAAACCCGAAGGAATAATACCGGGAGGCATATGGATGGGGGCCACGTTTCATCAACGGAGCCGACCCACACTCCTTCACAGGCAAACACAAGCACGCTGTATTTGGGAGTCAAGCGCACACAAGGCGGTGGCTGGACCGTAGTCCGCTCCACACTGAGTGCATACAATCGCTCTTCGAGCCGAGAACGGCCACAAGGACCGTGCACCCTGTCCCCTCCAGCAACGTCCAACTATCTCCTAGAGCCAGTATGTACGAGGTAGTGGGTAATAGACAGGTAGGCACCTTGTCAACATGCACATCAAGCGCAGCCACACCGGGAATATCAAGCAACAGCCAATCACTTGAAACGACAAGATGAAATATAATAGATCCAATAATGCATACAGATACGGTGGCACAACTTTTCGCTAAATTAGCATATGGAGTAATTTGGTTAGCAACAAATCCGTGATAAGTAAGAAATGTCCACAAGTTACTTAAAATGCTACAAACGCAACAAAGTTACCGGAAATAAACGCAATTAGTGTAAGCAACGTGGCCAGTTATTAGATTATTCAGGTAGGCAGAACAAACCAATTAATGTGGAATGAAATTTATCAAGCTTACTAAGACCTAGTTAAGTGTAAATCCTCCTACTCATAAGTAGCATAATGTATTTGCGTCTCTCAAGTACGAATCGACGAAATCTATTGACTGTCCGTTCACCGCAGCAACAGAATTTTATGGGGAAAATCGACATCAGAACAACTTTGTCTAGAGCGATCAATATATCGTCCAATTCCAAATTGAGCAATTGGAAAAGAGGGAGTTGAAACAGCGTTGCTGCTTATCGCTTGACCGCGCTGGTTAATTTATATATAATTTAGATGAAGTTCGTTACAATTGGACCCAGACACTCACTAAATTCAGAAAAACAGTATGCTATTTTTCCACCTTTTCGAGATTTTTCTCGGCACCCTATTCCTGTGATCTGGGCCTTTGAGCCATACTGATCGTCAGTAATTGATGTGTCTTTGTAGCTGACAGTAGTACAATCCTCCCGTTCATTATATCACAAATCTGATCATTAGTATCAAAGACACCGCACTCATCAGCACCTGAAACGTCTTGTACAGGCTCAAGTTCTGGTCTCCTCTTAAGTCCGGCACTGACAGCAATGCTCTGTTGTCATCTATTAGGCACAAGGTATTTTTGTGTGAAGGGAAGCTTGGGTAATGGTTTTCCATAAAACTAGGTGGCCATCCCTATGGTATAATAAATGATTTTTTTACATAGAAATCGAGACGTTAATGGGTAGGGTGACCGTTTGGAAGCTACGCACCAGTCGGCACGCTAGGGATTTTACTCTCTATGTATGTCATTATTATGTTTGTGCTGGCTTGCCGAACAACCTCCTCGTGGTGCCAGCTGGGTGGTTCGGGATTTTCCCGTTCCAGCAAATGGTTCGGCGGCAGTGTTCCAGGACGTGGTGGGTTTTCGCCTGGCAAGCGTTCTCCCTATAAAAAGCCACATATGTCCGTTTAACAACACTGTGACGTGGCGGACGTGACTCGCCACTAAATAAAGTCAATGCCCCTTGCTTCATCCTGGCGAAGCATTGTATTCCAGCAAGTTGATGCTGTAATTTCGGGGAGCATTGGGCCCCTGTTTGGCAAAGGAACAAACGAAAGGCGTATGAACTGATCAATCAGTCACCGGCTCCCAATGGGCGCGATTCCCTGAATTCGCTCCGCTGCCTTGCGGACAGGCTATTCAGCCAAAGGCTCGGGGTGGTGTCCCCTAAGTCAACACCCTACTTCGGCTTGGGCAACCGGGTAGTATTTCGCCCTCTGACGAAACCGTGGACATTGTTGTGTTGTGTTTTCTTTTACTATTTATGTACCTTGTTTTGAGTTCCATGGTTTCCGATGGTGCAATGTCTATTCATAGACTGTTGCAAATATATATATATATATATATATATATATATATATATATATTGTGCTGGATTATTAACACC